CGGAACCGGCGGTTCCTGTTCCGGGAACGGGTAACTCGGTTACATTAACTTTGTTAACTTTTGTCGATAAAACCGCAACTTAGTTCGATTCAAATCGAATCAATTCGGACCAAAGAGGGACAGAATCAGACCAATATATTCTAATCCGGTCCAAGTAACACACACATATTTATATGAAATACTATTATAAATATATATATATATATATATATATATATATATATATATATATATATATATCTTTACTATCTTATAAAAGAAATCTAACTATTTCTAAAAATAGATTGATTATAATAATAATATTTTTTTTAAGACGTCCAAATGATGAAGCTGATAGTACAAGTAATCATTAATAAAATAATATTAAATTTTAACCATATTTTGAATTCAAATATTTATCATCAAATCTCTTTATATTTCTCAACAATTTGATATGGTTCCCTCAAATCTCGGATTCATTCAAATTTTGAACCCTTTTAAATATCCTTAAATTTAGCATGTTGATTCAAATATCCCTTCAATCGCATATACCTATTTGCTCCCTCCTCTGCTATAAAACCCACCGTCCAGGAACAAAAAATGACTTCATTTCCCAAATAACACCATAGTTTGATTATTTTGTCTTCGACATGTACTTTCTTTTGTAACATAACATTTTTGTAGAGGAAACATATCACCGAAAGAATTTACACGCTCCGCCGCTTTGCGCGGGTACACTGCTAGTATATATATATATATATATATATATATATATATATATATATATATATATATATATATATATATATATATATATATATATATATATATATAAACCGGTTTCGGCGGGTACCAAGTGGGTAGCAGTTCCGAAAAAATTAAATTGGAACCGGAACCGTTTAAGGCGGTTCCATAACTTTAGGAACCGGAACCGCTTAAGGCAGTTCCAGTTCTAGAACTGGCAGTTCCGAGGCGGTTCCGATTCCAAAAGCAGATACCCAGTTCTGATGCTCATCCCTAATACTCACATCTGAAATATTAAGAGCATTTCTTGGAAAATAAAGCAGGTACCCGATTCCGGTTTCAAAAGCAGGTACCCGGTTCCGATGCTCATCCCTAATACTCACATCTGAAATATTAAGAGCATTTCTTGGAAAAATAAGAGGCAAAAAATAAGATGCTCGCAAATACTCTTAATTGAAAAAATTCAAATATCTTTGTTTTTAAGAAGCATTAAAAGGTAAACAATTAGACTCTTATGATTCACAAGATTTTATAGCGTAGTACATGATGTTAAAACGTACATTTTATTAAAACATAAATTTCAATAACCAATTTGTCATAATTATCACTTTTTTTTTTTTTTTTTTTTTTTTTTTTTTAACATTTTGAGCTCTAAATATTTTGTTTATACTTATATATTTAATATGATCGATTATCATAGATTTGGTCCATTTTAATACATAAATGGTCAGTAAAGTTTTACTTGTATAGCTGCCGTTTTGGAACAAAAAAGATATCATTATTTTTGTGTTTTTATATTATTATTAATGATATTTATAATTTATTATTAATTATATATAAAAAATATTAGTGTTATCCTCCCTCTCTCTCACATCATGTTCTTGACAATTCTATCTTTATTAATTGGTATAATTTGTTTGCCATCATTTTTATTCTTATTGACAAATTAAGCTTGAATGATTTCATTGTCCGGAAGAGCTTGTTTCAATTATATTATCATATGACTATATATAATACCTATTTGTTGTTTTATGTCAATAAGGTGCATGAAGGATCATTCTAATGACAGTCATTTCATGACTAAGAAAGTCTCTAAAGAAAGGTAAGAAAAAAGATAACCTTTATAACCCATTTTGAATGTTTTTCATTTCATGGCTAAGAAAGCCTTTAAAGAAAAGTAAGAAAAAAAATAACCTTTATAACCCATTTTGAATGTTTTGTTTATGATTATATTTTATACTAAAGAATAACATATGTGAATTTTGAGAAGGTGAATAGGTGATATGAGTAACCCAGATAAACATCTCATTTTGTAACTCTTGCTTAGTTAAAAAACAATTATAATAGCTAATAACAAAAATAAAATTGTCAAAGATATAATGTACGCCAAGAGGATAAATTGGCATATATCTAGATACGCAATTTTCTATATTGTGTTATATTTGGCTTATTACCCGATCTTGCAATGTTAGTCGACTGTTATTACACAATATAGTGTATTATGCATTGGATCAATCTCTATATGTATTTATCAATAAGCATGATATAATAATGAGAAATTAAATATTTTCTTACTTTTTTTTCTATTTATATTCTTATCAATATGTAACTGTGATTAGTGTCATATTTTGATAAAATTAATTATATTTTTAGAAACTTATCATCAAAACTAATGAGGAAGAAAAGTAGAAGAATTCTATAATAACATATGAAATTTATGCCTCCTTTATCATACCCCATTTCTACTTAATAACGATTAACTTTTAGTTATTAGGTTAGATGACATACTTTTTACTAATTGTTATTATTTTTAATAATTAGGTTATGATAACATAATTTTTAGTAACATATTTATAACTAACAGTTTATATATATATATATATATATATATATATATATATATATATATATATATATTATATATATATTTACTAAACTATAATTTATTTTATTTATTCTATAGATAATTTATTAACACTATTTTATAAAATATGCGTAAATATTCGTATTCAATATCTTTAAAAAAACGACACACCATTAATCTATTAAAAATATTATACAATTGGTATTTTTATTAAAAAATAATAGATAATTTATATTAAATAATATTTTGATAAAAAAAAATTGATATATTTTGTTAAAATAAATAAATATATGCAAAAACTATAAAAGATATAAATATAAGGGCATAAATGTCATATTTTTAAAATAAAAAGGTTATTATTTTAAAGTTATATTACTTTAGGCTTAAGTTTAGAATGAAAAAAAAAATTATAAATACGGCAAATTGAATAAACAACAAAATATATGAGACGAAAAATAAGCTAAATAAAAAAATTATTTAATATATTTATGTAAAACAGGTGGGCAAATTTTGAACATATAAAAAAACTTAAAAAGTAAAAAATAAAAAATAGAAGTCACCGGTAAAAAGAAAAAGAAAAGCCTTAGCTATATGAATTGTCTCAAAGTTTATTATGGTGTAGGTGTGAGTAAAGTTTCCAAACTTTTAATAATTAAGGGGCTAAGATTGTAAAAAAATAGGATTAATAACATATTTCAAATTTAAGATTCCACACAATGACAGGTAAAGATTTGGGGATATTTAGATCAAGATCCAATAATATATTTGAGATCTAAGAAACCAATTATGCATCCTTTTGCGGATTTTCTAATATGTTTGAAGTATTAATTAATTAATCATAATTATTACCATAATTAAATGTTAAACATATTAATTATAAGAAATATTATCATAATTAAATACAAAATAATTAATAATCACCATAATTAATGCATTTCACATTTAATTATGTTAATATTTTTCATAATTAATACTTTTTATATGTATCCTTAGAGCAATATTATAAAATCCCTTCAACTAATCAGCTTTGTGATTAATGTGATTAATGATTTCTTAAGTATTTTCTAAGAATTAAACTATGGACTTCCATTGCAATAGGTGTATTCGTCTTCGTTCTTCAAAATAAGTAGAAGAAAGTAGTGGATATGAAGAAACCTGATATTTTAAAGAAGAGAGCAAAAGAAAATATATTTGAGAAAACCTGGTGGTGAGCGTTGATAAAAAAAAGAAAAAGATAGATGATGCATAGTGAATTGTTATTAGACATTTATTTACAATTTTGTTTTGATGTGTTAATATTTACACATCGAATCATATATCAATATATATCTTACATTATATAGCCTCATTTTTTTTGTTTTCTTAATCAAAGATGAATCTAGAAAGTTTATACCTTCTTATTAAATTTCATAAGCCATTTCTTCATATCATAAATCTCATTGTGCTGATTCTGCTTCTACCACCGATTCATAAATCTCCCTAAAAACACTAATCTTTAGATAGTTATTCTCAATTTTTTACTCTTAAACCTTAAAGGTGCGTTTGGTTGTGGAAAACTATTTTTATTTTTTTAAAATCTGTTTCCAGAAAATAAAATTGAATTTTCATTTTCAGTTTTTAATGAAAATTTTAGAAAACACGTTTAGTTAGAAGTGGTGGAGTTTTCAATTTCAATCTTAGAAATTTGGAAAATTGTAAAACTTACTTTTCTAATTTACATGCAATTTGAAAAACTGAAAATTTTCATTTTCTAGAAAACTTTGGAAACTGAACGAATGAAACGTGTTTTCAAAATTTTCGTTTTTCTTGAAAAGTTTTCCTAGAAAACCGGAAAATTTTCCACAACCAAACACACCTTAATCCTCTCCATCCTCTCTATCAATGGGTGCGTTGCAAGGAAGTTTTCATTTACTCAACATCAACGATTGGTTAGGTTCAATTTAAAAAAAAAAAAAAAAAAAGATGACCAATAATTGTTACTAGTTAAGGTTGTTAGCTCAATTTTTAAGTTAATTTCATTTATGGAGTTTGAGTAAGCCCTAAAGGGTTTATAATATCAATCATAAGTTGTTTGATTATGCAGTATCTTTCTTTAATTGCTTTATTTATGGTTCAGAGGTTGTAATCTAGGTTCCCACAATGGATTATCTGTTAGAATTAACCATTTTTATTCTAATTTGGATGTAGATATTCATAGTTAGGAAGGTCAAGCGCGACTACGAAGCTAGTCAAAACCATATGATGGGCATATGCTTGCAGAAATCATTGATTTTTGACTTGATTATGTTGATCATCTTGTTCCCAATCTTCATCTTTTGTTCGTAAATCTACAAACTAGTTGGGCAAGAAGAATCAATAGCAAACAATGGCAGATACATATTATTCTGGGTTGTCCATTTTGTTAACAACTTTATTGCAATTTGACTATATGAATGTATCTGCAAGCACATCCAAAGAACGTGTCCAATCATCTATGCTCAAAGAGGTAATACTAACATAATATATTCGTAGATCATGAACTCAAGTTTGAGTATCTTTTATTGATTTCTTTGCTTTTTCCAACACTAGTAGATCACATTTTAGTTTCGTTTTCTTAATCATGACAATAAGTCTTGGGGACTTTTTGGTTTATTATGATATTGCTCTGGGTTTACATACAACTATGATGATCTTAATAAAAGGTGCATTAGATGCTCCGATACAATCTCCCAAATGGGAAAGCAATCTCCCAAATGGAACCTATAGTTACAATCGAGAAACAGATCAGGAGTTCTCTGGGAGGACACTCTGATACTCTAGTCAGTGTATTGAATAAAGTTTTTTGGTGGTATCTTTAATGAAAGTGTCCAGAAGGAACATACCTCCTCTAATGATCATCGGTGTTTCTTATATAGTTAGTGCTTTTTAGACGGGAGGGGGGACCATAGCAACTGTTTTTGGCATACCGGGCTACCATTGGTCCACACGTCCCTATCTGAATCATTCTCTATCCTGATTAGTGAGAGGGAATCAATGGTAGTGGCCTATGCACGACCATATTGACGTCTACTTCTGTATGCCAATTCACAGCCTTGTGTGGCGATTAATGAGTCTTCTCTTGTATGACGTTGGTTGTCGGGGGTAGCCGATACTCTCGTCTGTCTCTTCAAGATTTAGCCTCGTCGTTGGTTTCTGCTGGGTCCCGGACCTAGCCGGTTAGTGTCGTCTAGCAGTTTCTCCTTCGATGCATTCAAGCCAGTGGCCGCTTTGCTATGACTAGATGTCATTGTGTGATAGTTTTCTTTTATTTACTTCTTTTTATAGTTTATTTTAGCTTATTTTATTTTATTTTTAGTTAATCTTCATGCATATTTTTCTTTTTCGTTGTTTTATATCTATATCGGGTACATTCGAGTGTTTTTAGCTTTATTGCAAATATTTTGAGAAATAGAGTGGAGCGTGGAGGGAAATTCAGAAGACTAACAAAGTTCGAGTGGATGTTTGAGATTACGGGGATTCAATTGGATTCAAGTCATGAAGAACTATGGGCTAGATGAATTTTATGGAGATGATGCTAAAATGGGCTTGAGCTTAAATGAATATCGAAGAAATATTTGAGCTTGCGGAATTGATTGATCGATCGAATATACGAGCTTTGGAGGATTCGGAGAAGACAAATTGAGCTTAAATTGGAGAAATAATGAAGAATCATGGGCTATAATCTAAGGGAGAAGAAGGGGACCAGTGGGCTAAGGCAGTGTAGGCCTAATAAATGAAAGTGGCCCATTCTCTACCAGTTCATGCGGCCCGCACATGAATCAAGCCAAAAGTCATGCGGCCTACGTGACTTCCTGCAGTGGGAATTTCGGGATTTTATCTTGAATGCTATTTGAGGAAGGTTGGTGTCCATCTTTTGCACACTTCTTCACATCCGAATTTTGATAAATTCTCTGGAGATTTAGGAGGTCTTGGAGCACTTGAAGAACATGAAAACATCCTCTTTTTGCTCTTGATTCTTACTGCATGTTGGGTAATTTTAACTTTTCTTTTGTTATCATGAGTTTAGCCATGTTAGGATAAATTAATATTGGTTAATTTTGGTAAAATCCATGGATATTTGGTTATTTGAAGAATATTATGAACTTGTGATGAATTTTATGAAAGTTTTTTTCATTTAAACATCTTACCATATACATATGTCTTTATTCATGAGTTTAGATGCATGTTTGGTAATTAACTGGATAATTTCTTGATTAAGTAATATATCCTCAAATTAGCAAGCAACAATTGATTCTTGTGTTAGTTTTCACTTCACACAATCATATAAACACTTTCTCTAACATGGTAGTGAAATCATTTGACTCATCTTGGACTTGATGTGAAACATACCAAAAATACAATCCAAAATTTTCATTTATTTAAACCAGAATTACTAAAAATCATTTATCAAAACATGAAAAACAATATCTCGAGTGTCAAAATAGTGTATCCATATCAATCGCATGACAAATAAATCATAGTAAAACATCTCAAGCTAAACATAAATGGTGTGTGCCATGCAGTTAACTCGAGCTCTTCCCCATGCTACCAGAAGTACCTGAAACCAAAACTGAAAACTGTACGCACGAAACTTAGTGAGTCTCCCCAAACTACCACATACCATACACATATCACATAATCACATAACAACATATCATGGGCCCCGCCCTACTATATCGGGCCCCTTCCGGCATTGAGCAAAGCTCGACATACGTCTGAGCATATATACTAGTACACATAAACATAAGCATAATAAACTAATCATCGACATATAAACATTCCTCGGGCCCCTCTCGGCATCGGACTGAGATTTGGAAAGCATACAAACATTCCTCGGGAACCACCTTGGCATCGGACCATAGTCCGAAAACATATAGATACAAACACATGCAAGAATCAAAAATACATCAAGCATAAAAACATTCATTGGGTACCGCCCCGACATTGGATCGAAACCTGGAAACATATAAACCTACATCGGTCCCCGCCCGGTATCGAACCTTAGTCTGAAACCTATTAACATACATAAACGGGTCGATATTGGTGCCTTCAACCTGTTCCTACAGGAGAAAACTCACCTCAAATGTCAAGTGAAGTTGTTGAACGTCTTTTCTAACGCAACCGGCTCTACTTACGCCCTATACAAAACAACCCCTTAGATACCATTCCTTACATCAAGAACCCTTCATGCGTCAACCTTGGTCAAAGTCAAGGTTAAAGTCAAAGTCAATGCTCGGTCAAAGTCAACACTCGGAGTTGACTCAACTCATCAAGTCATCCCCTGACTCATCGGGTTCCCTTGCTACTCGTAGTCATGATAAAATGAGTCAACTCATCGAGTCCTCCTTAGGCTCGTCGAGTTCTACCCTTTACAAAATTGAGACAAATCGACACAACTCGTCGAGTTCCTCTTTGGACTTGCTGAGTTCCTCAGCCTATTGTTACATCTTAATGGATTAAGCCCTTACTCTTCAGATCTAAGCTTCATAGTTCTCATATAAACTGAAAATATCCTTTTAAGGGTAAAGTGTCCAACTTTACCCATTAATACCCTCACTTAACGGGTTTAGCTCAAACCCTAACTCTTTAGGAACTAGATCTTGATCCTAAAGCCATCAATACTCTAAACCAAGGCATATAAACTAAGATTTGGACCCTAGACACTACATGAACATGCAAAGCTTCCACCTTTCTCTCCATGCATGGCCTTTTGGAGCTTAAAAGGCCAAAATGACATCCTATAGCTTGCATGGGGCTTCAATGGCCATAAAGTTTGCACCTTTATTCCATGAAAGCCCTCCATGATTCCAGATTTGATGGTTTACTCACTTGGGACGTCCATATCCCAAAGATCAAGCTTCTTGGACAAAAAAAACCCAATAAAATGATAATAAAGAGATCTAATAAGTTACTAAGCAAGTTTGAGACTTGCTTACCAGAAAATTATGAGAATAAAATGGAGTCTCTGAATCTACTAGCTTCTTCTTGAATCCCCAAGCTTCTCCTTTCTTCATAAGCTTCTTCACACACAAAGTTTCACTCAAAAATGGTTCACAAGCTCTAAATGCATTAGGGTTTCTGAATCTAGCGTTTGGAACTTGGAGGCTGGAAATGAGGCCAGCATATGGGGATTAAGATTCTTAAATGGGGTGCAAACCCCCAAAATTAGGGTTTCATTATGGCAGCCTTACTCGTCGAGTTGATGGCTCTCAACTCGTCGAGTAGGTTACTTAAAACCCGCGTCGAAATTCTCTACAAAAATGAATAAATTATAATTTAAATGTGTACCAGGAACCAGGCATTACAATTCACCCCCACTTGTCTTAGACTTCGTCCTCGAAGTTTGTTGCATTGGGAAATAACTCTTAGTAGTGCTCCCTCATCTCCTCCTCGGGCTCCCTAGTCCACTTCGAGCCCTTGCGATGCTGCCACTGCCACTGCACCTTCACCAACGCCACCCTCTTATTCCTTAGCTCATTAGTCTTCTTGTCGAGAATAGCTACTGGTCTCTTAATGTAGTTCAGGCTGTCATCAACCTGAATATCCTTTAAAGTCACAATCACGGAGTCATCCACTAAGCACTTCCGCAACTGGGAGACATGAAAAGTGTTGCGGATCTGGCTGAGCTCTGTTGGAAGATCCAAACGGTAATCAACCCGGCCTACCTGGGGCCCAGCTTGCCCCGCTTCCTAAACCGGATGACACCTTTTGTAACATCCCAAAATTCAAGACCAATAATTTCATTTTTAATTTAATAATTCATAAAACAGATTATTGAAACATGATGAAGTTATCTCATATCATAAAAACCCATACGTCATATGTCTCAAAACATGTCATAACATAATAATGTTAGAATACAAAATCCCAAGAACATCATAATGTGGAAAATCGTGGTGTGATGTGCTGTTATCATGTCGAATCCTTTCCCTTTGAAGATGAAGGACCTAAAACAAAAACTGAAAACCTTAAGCACAAAGTTTAGTGAGTTCCCCATCATACCACATACCATATAATAAACATATTGTCTAACTTATTCGGGTACTGGCCTACCTCTTCGGTCTCTTTCAACTGGTAACATGCCTAGAATATAAGGGTGTTGGCCTAACCCTTCGGTCTCTTTCAACCAGTAACTTTCCTAACATATTAGGGTGTTGGCCTACCCCTTTGGTCCTTTTAACTGATACCTTGCCTAGCATATTAGGGTGTTGGTCTACCCCTTCGGTCCTTTCGACCGGTACCGGGGAATATTTCACCCCCTACTTCTACCATGTAATCTCCTAATACATAAACACCTAAGTCTCATACTGCCTAGCATAGGGGTGGCAAAAGTTGACACGACACGACAAAAATACACGACACGAAACGAAATTGGGACGAAATCGAAATTCGAATTCGTGTTCGTTTCGTGTTCGTGTTGTTTAAAAAAAACGACGTCGTGTCGTGTCGTGTTCGTGTTTGAAATTAGAAACGATAACAACACGACTAAAACACGATATATACACGACTATAACACGATATTAAAACGAAATGAAACACGACTATAGAACGATACTAAAACGATAATAGCACGATAATTCCATTTTACACTTTATTAAATGATAGGTATTTAATAAATAATAATAATAGGTATTTAAATTTATGCATTAAAATAATTAAACAATTAAGGATTCAAGACCTAGGCTAGGCCTTTCCATCGGCTTCTTTGAAAACCCAAAAGACTTTTAGAAATTCTAATCGGCGTTTTGCATTTCCCCATTCTCAATACTCAATAGAACTAGAACCATAAACCGTTGATGGCGGTATTATTTGAAAACCATACGCAATCAATTTTGTTAAAGGAATCTCCAGTTCATTATTTGTTTTTAAACTACAATCCCTCAACCACAAGCCGACAATCGGTGATCGCAAAACCAATTTGCTCTAGCCGTTTCCTATTCTTGCTTCTCAAACTTGTTTCGTTTATGGTTTAGCCGTTCAGACAATCGCAATTGACTCATATACTTGCTTTATTGCTTCTCAAATCTCAACCACAATTGACGCAAGAAAGGTAATTTTATTATTTAATTTTCAAAGAATGTTGCAACTGGTTACTTAGAAAAAGACTTTTGTGAATTGTGATATCGTTAAGTACGCAAATACGTAATAGCACTAAACATTTGTGCACTCTTGTCACTTGCTTTTTTTTGTAGTTTCTTATACAAAAAGAAAATAAAAATATTTCTGTGATAATTCTTGATTGATTTTGCAATAAGGAGAAGTTGTATACGTCTTATCTCTTGATTACTTCTAATATTGCTCCATATTTGTTTCTAAGATACTTGATTTTACTTATACTTCTAGTCTTCTTGATTACTCTGAATTTTGTTGTTATTTTAATAAACTGTACACTCCATATTTTGCTTCTGATTGCTTTCTTAGTTTCATATTGCAGCTTTCTTTTAAATATTTGTTTCCAATTTTTATTTCAAACAGTTTGATAAGAAAATCGACATGAAGAGGGCAAAGCTTGATAAAACACATAATACAAAAAAGGCAAAGCTTAATAAAACAGATACACATTCTGCAACTGTAGCTCCTCAGGTATTTTATTATTTTTTTTAAACTTTTCCCCATCTAAATTATATAATTTCTGAAAAAGACCCTCCTTTTTTATTTTAGGATGTAGAACTTGAAGAAGAAGCTGATGACATTGATGTTGTGGAGGTAGATGTTAAAGTAGAGGGTGAAGAAGATCATGTAAAAATGGAAAGGGAAAGGTGGTCTAAGGTATGGAAGTATTATACTAGACTTCCAATTGGTGCAGATGGTAGGGAAAGGGCTGAATGTGATAAGTGCAAAAAAAGATACATTTGTGAAACAAAAAATGGAACAGGTAGCTTGAGAAATCACATTGCAAAGTGTCCAAGAAGGGACAAAAGTGACATAGCACAATTCAGTTTTGCAAAATCAGGTGGTTCAATTTCAATAAATTCCACAGTTTTTAAACCCGAAAGATTCCGTGAACTTATTAGTGAAGCTATTGTCAAGCATGACCTTCCCTTTAGGTTTGTAGAGTATGAGGGTATTAGAGAAATCTTTAGTTACTTAAATGAAAAAGTTACCACAATTACTAGAAACACCGCTAAAGAAGATGTGCTGAATTTGTTTAAAAGAGAAAAAGGAAAACTCAAGAAATTGTTTGAGTTACTTCCTGGTCGAATTTCATTAACTGCTGATTTGTGGTCTTCTATTAACACAGATGGTTTCTTGTGTGTTACTTCTCACTTTATTGATGAGGAGTGGAAGTTGCAAAAAAGAATTTTGAACTTTCAATATATGCCACCTCCACATAATGGCGTATGTTTGACCGAAACAATATCTACTTTATTGACCAATTGGGGGATTGATAAAAAGTTGTTTACAATCACGTTAGATAATGCTGCAAGTAATGATACTTTTGTCAATCTCCTAAAAGGTCAATTATGTAATGAAGGTGCACTTCATAGTAACGGAGATTATTTTCATGTTCGATGTTGTGCTCACGTGTTGAATTTAGTTGTGCAAGATGGCTTGAAGGCTATTGATGAAGGGATTGTCAAAATTAGAGAATCTATCAAGTACGTGAAGGGATCTTCAGTAAGGAAAAGAAACTTTCTGAATTGTGTGAAACAGGTTAATTTGAATCCAAATAAAGGCTTGCGACAAGATGTTCCAACTAGATGGAATGCTACTTTTCTTATGATTGAAAGTGCCCTTTTTTATCGTCGTGCTTTTTTCCGTTTAGCACTAAGTGATTCTAATTACTTAGATTGTCCAAGTAATGAAGAATGGGGCAAATTAGAAAAGATTTTCAAATTTTTGGAAGTATTTTATGAAGTCACATGCATTTTTTCTGGAAATAAGTATTGCACAGCAAACTTATATTTTCCTTCAGTTTCCACGGTTGAAAGAACTTTAAAAGAAGAAATAGAAAGTTCGGATACGTTTATAAAGATAATGGCTTGCAAAATGTATGAGAAGTTCTCTAAATATTGGTCCGAGTATAGTCCAATTTTGGCCATGGCTGCAGTTTTGGATCCACGTTATAAAATGCAATATGTTGAGTTTACTTACAAAAAACTCTATGGAAGCAGTTTTCGTGAGCATAGTGATTGTATTCGGGAGAAGTTACATGATCTATTTGGTGAATACGTTATTGAATCACCCATGGCTTATAGAGCATCAACCATTTCAACAAGTGATTCAAGTAAAAGTGTTTACAAAAAGAAAGATGACACAACACTTAGTAAAAGCACGAGAGAAATGCTACAAGTAAGAAGTTGTTTTTACTAATTAATTTTTTTATATAATTAGTTTATTTCATAAGTTTTTTTAATTTATACTAATTAATTTTCTGTTTTCATAGGAGTTCACAGTGTATGAAACTAAGGAGTTTGCTTTGTCTCAAAAATCACAATTAGAGATGTATCTAGATGAGCCAAGAAGTGACATAACTGAAGATATAAATGTACTTTCTTTTTGGAAAGCCCATCAATATCGTTATCCGGAACTTGCTTCCATGGCTCGAGATATTTTGAGCATCCCTGTTTCCACTGTGGCATCCGAATCAGCCTTTAGTAATGGTGGTCGTATTCTTGATCAATATCGAAGTTCGTTGAAACATGAAAATGTTGAAGCTCTAATTTGTGCAAAAGATTGGTTGTTTGGGATTAAAGGTAATTTGTATTCTTCTTGAAACATTTGTATAAAGTATTTAATATTTTTAATATGTTTTTAATATTGTTTGTAGGTGATGAAGAGTTATGTTTACAAGATCTTACCGAAGATGTTATGAAGTTTGATAACAATGCTAATGGTACACATGAAGAAATGGAGTCACAAGCTTGAAGACATTTAGCAAAATTTTATGACGTTTTATGTTATTTTCTGTCACTAAATGTGTATTTGTTATGTTTAATTTAACTTTTTTTGCAAGAACTATGAATGACATTATGGAATTGTTTTTTTTTTTTGGTAAATTATTTCGTGTTATCGGTTTTTTCGTGTTTTCGTGTTTTTTTATTTTTTCGTGTTCGTGTTAACGAAAACAAACACGATATCGTTTCGTTTCGTGTTCGGGTTGAGGGAAAATAATTCGTGTCGTGTCGTGTTAGATAAAAACACGGCACGACTGCCCGATTTGCCACACCCCTAGCCTAGCATATCAGGGTGCTGACCTACCCCTTCAGTCCTTTCGACCGCTATCGGGGCCTATCCTACCCCTTTTACTACTTTCACATAATATCATAGCATACTAGCACATAAAGCATAACAGATAGTGACATACTAGATAATTATCACAAAGACAATCATCTTTACTATAACTCTTACTAATGGGCCGACAGTGGTGCCTTCGACCCACTTCTACTGGAAGGTAACTCACCTCAGATGTTGTGAAGTGGCTGAATTGTCCTCGACTTTGAAATCTTCCCCACTCAAAATCATACACATAAAGATTTCCTTTAGTTACCCCTATTCATGCTCATAACCCCCTTAAAAGTCAACTTTGGTCAAAGTAAAGTTCAAGGTCAACACCCTGGTCAAAGTCAACATCTGGTCAAAGTCAACGTTCCGAGTTGATTCAACTTTCCAAGTTGACCCATCAACTCGTTGAGTTCTATAAATCCGAAAATTCTGAACTTGCAATCCAACTCATCGAGTTCTTCCTATCCATGGTGTCAGGACTTTCGTATTCTAATCGTTGAGTCATCCTTGAACTCATCGAGTTTTCCCTTTTACAAAATCGGGACATTTCAACCCAGCTCATTAAGTTCCTCTATGGACTCAATATGTTGATCCATTTTAACATGTTAGGCTCTTATTCTTCAGATCCAAGCTCCATACTTCATCTACATACTGGAAATGCCCTTTTAAGGGTAAAGTTTCCAACTTTACCCGTTAATAGTCCTTCTTAATGGGTTTAGCTCAAACCTTGGTTCTTTAAGACTTAGATCTTGGTCCAAAAGCCATAATACTCCAAACCAAAGCATGAAAACTGAGATCTAGGCCCTAGACACCATATGAACATTAAAGTCTCAAACTTTCCCTCCATGCATGGCCTTTTGGGGCTTAAAAGGCCAAAATGACATCTTAAGCTTGCATGGGGCTTCCATGGAAATAAAGTTTGCACCTTTATGCCATGAAACCCCTTCTAGACTCCAGATCTAAAAGATAACTCACTTGGGACGTCCCATTCCCAAGGACCAAGCTACTTGGACCAAAAACTCAACAAAAGTGGAGATGAAGAGATCTAAGCACACAATGGACAAGTTAGGAGCTTTTTACTTCTATTAAATTAGAAATAGAGCTTAACTTCTTGATCTACTCTCCTCCATCAGGTCCTTGCTCTTTCCTCAAGGATCCTCTTCTTCAACTTCACAAAGAACACACAAAAATGACACAAAAACACTCAAAAGTGGCTTAGGGTTTTGTGGCTAGGGTTTGGGGTGATGGAGGCTACAAATAAGGCCAACCTTTTGGAGGTTAAAGTGTTTAAATAGGGTGCAAAACCCTGAAATTAGGGTTTCACTCTGCCGGCCCTACTCGTCGAGTAGGTTTCTTAACTCGACTGCGTCCCAAAAATAATTCCTACTCAACGAGTTTGGGGCCTCCAACTCATCGAGTTCTCTTATAAAAGCGAATAAGTTTTATTTAAAATGCATACTAGGAATTGGGCGTTAAATCTTTCTAAGGTGACACCTTCAGGAGAACCATATAGCCCACCTAAAACTCCAAGTCTGAACAGCGCTTATCGGTATAGCTTTTATGCCGACTCTGAGCAGTCTGGAGCCTGCTCTGGACCTGCTAGATCCTCTCAGTAGTCTTAAATACTACCTTAGTACTCTTCATGACTCTATGAATGATCTCGAACCAACAGATTGGGGTCCTACTCTTCGTCCCATAGAGCATCTTGAAGGGAGGTTGATCTATGCTAGTGTGATAACTGTTGTTATACGAAAATTTCGCTAACGGAATATATGTATCCCAAATGCCTCCAAAATCCAATAAACACGCACACAACATGTCATCTAGATTTTAAATCGTCCTCTCACTCTTCCTGTCAATCTGAGGGTGGAAAGTGGTATTGAAGTGGAGATGAGTACCCATCTCGTCGTGACACCGCTTCCAAAATCTGGAAGTGAAACGAACATCCCGGTTTAATACCACCGAGACAGGTACTCCATGTCATGCCACTACCTCATGTACGTAGATCTCGACCATCTTCTCAGTCGATATACTCTCCTGGATCGGGATAAAATAAGCACTCTTGGTCAATCGATCCACGATGACCCATATCTAATCTACTCCACGTGCGGTCTTGGGAAGTTTCGTGATGAAATCCATAGTGACATCGTCCCATTTCCACACGGGAATGTCTAACGGCTGCATCGTGTCGTGTGGTCGTTAGTGTTCGGCTTTGACCTTCCTGTAGGTTAAGCACCGCTCTACGTACCATGCTACGTCCCACTTCATGCAGGGCCACCACTAATCATGGTGAAGATGCCGATACATCTTCGTCGCCCTGGGATAGATGGAGAACCTCGACTTGTGAGCCTTGTCCATCGGAACCTATCGTACTCCACCCCAATACGGGACCTAGACCCTCCCATGCAGGGTCAACAACCCATGGGTTTCATAATCAAATGAGGCCACCTAGCCTATGATCTTCTCACTCTTCCGACGTTCCTCCATCATACCCTCGACCTGCGCCTCTCGGATCTGCTCCAGGAATGGAGTAATCATTGTCATCCTCAGACATATATCTCGAATCGAAGCCGCCACTGCCTTTAGACTAAGAGAATCGGCCACCATATTGGCCTTGCCTGGGTGGTAAAGTATCTCACAGATGTAATCCTTCACCACATCTAACCACTGACGTTGCCTCATGTTCAGATTTGGCTGATCCATGAGGTACCTCAAACTCTTGTGTTTTGTGTAAATGGTACAACGGACCCCATATAGGTGATGCCGCCAAATATTGAGGGCGAAAACTACACCCCCAGATCCAAATCGTGCGTCGGGTATTTCACCTCGTGAGGCTTCAGCTGCCTCGAAGCGTATGCTATCACGTGACCCCGCTGCATCAACACTGCGCCCATACCCATGATTGAGGCGTCACAGTAAACCATGAAGTTGTCAACGCCCTCTGGCAAGGTTAGAATTGGTGCCTTGCATAACCGCTGTCTGAGAGTATTGAAGGGTGCCTGTTGCTCAGACCCCCAGTGGAATGTTACCGACTTCTTGGTTAGTCGGGTCAGAGGAACAGCGATCCTAGAGAAATTATGTATGAATATTCGATAGTAACCCGCTAGAACAAGAAAACTCCGAATCTCAGATGGAGACCTCAGAACCTCCCACTGCATCACGGCCTCAATCTTGGCCGGATCAACCAGAATACCCTGGTGGTTGACAAGGTGCCCCAAAAATTGCACCTTGTGCAACCAGAACTCACACTTGGAGAACTTTGCGAAAAATCTCTCCTTCGTTAGTGTCTCCAGCACCTCCCTTAGGTGCTCCTCATGCTTCTCCTGGGTCTTAGAATAAATCAAGATGTCATTAATGAAGACTATCACAGACCAATCCAGCATCGGTCTGCATACGCGATTCATGAGGTCCATGAACGTGGCAGGAGCATTGATGAGCCCAAATGACATCACCACGAACTCATAGTGGCCATAGCGAGTCCAAAATGTCTTCGGCACGTCGTCGTCCCTGACTCGCATCTGGTGATAACTCGATGGTAGATCAATCTTTGAGAACCAAGATGCACCCTGAAGCTGGTAAAATAAATCATCAATCCTCGGGAGGGGGTAACGGTTCTTCACCGTTACCTTATTCATCTCTCGGTAATCTATGGACATCCGATGTGACCCGTCCTTATTCTTCATAACAGGATCGGGGTCCCCATGGTGAACTTCTTAGTTTGATAAATCCCTTGTCTAACAACTCCTGCAACTGATTAGATAACTCCTGCATCTCGGGAGGAGCCAAACGATATGGTTCCTTGGATATCGGAGCCGCACCAGGAACTAGGTCCATCCTGAACTCTACCTGTCTCTCCGGAGGCACCTAAGCAAAATCCTCTGGGAACATGTCCAGGTACTCTCGTATGACCGGTACATCATGCACAATCACCTTACCCTTATCTCGGGTGTTCGTAACATAGACGACATAACCTGTACAACCCTGATGAAGGTAACTCCTCACCCTCGTTGCCGAGCACAAAGTCGGTCCACTCTGCGGCCTCTCACCCTAAATCACTAACCCTCCCCCATTAGGAGTCTCAACTCTCACTAGCTACTGCTCGCAGTCGATCACTACCTCGTTGGGGCTCAGCAAGTCCATACCCACAATAACCGTTTTCCCTCGTAGGGGAATGGGGACCAAATCCATGAAAAACTACTCGTCGAACATCTGTAGTGTACATCCCCGATGAACCCTCGCAACCCGAACGGTCCTATCATCTAATATCTCTACATCCAGTGGACAGTCTAGCTCCCCCGGAGCTTCAACAAATCACTTGCTAAGTGTTAGTGACACAAAAGATCAGGTAGCCCCCGAATCGAAAAATACCAGAGCTGATATAACGTCCACTAGGAACGATCCTATAATAAAACACGTAAACATAAGCGACAATCAATACAAATAAAGAGATAAGGGGAGAATACATACCCATCACAACATCAGGAGCTGCACGTGCCTCCTCCGCAGTAAGCTAAAATGCATTGCTCCTTGCCATAGGCGCCTCTACCCGGCCCTAACAGCCATCTGTAATCCTCAACGTAGCAGGAGTGG